AATTAATTCCAGTTCAGTTTCCAGAAAGATCAATTAGATGATTGTCTCCAGAGGATTCCGGCGAGTCCCAACGGGCCAATCAACGATGACGAAAATTGCGTCCTGTTGAGATTATTACGCAACAATTTTCAGCCAAGATTCCCTCTGGAAAGTCCTGAGAGTTAAATAAGAAAGTGAGCAGTCAATGTACACACAAATACATTGTGTATCTATCCAAAAAATATTTCTCTGATAAGGATAGTAAGTGGCCATGAAGAACCTTGAACATCCATGAAACCTTTGCAGTCCACAATATACTATATAAAAATAAAGGTTCTAAGAGAAGGTTTTCGTAACGATGCAATAAAAACAAAAACAAAGAACCGTTCAGTAATCAGTTTTTAAAAGAACCATTTTTTTTCTTAGAGTGAAAAATGTTTTAATAAACTAAAGAACATTTTTCCACTATAAAGAACTTTAGTGCAATGGAAGGTTCCACGGATTTTAAAGGTTCTTCATGGAACCACTGATGCCAATAAAGAACCTTTATTATTAAGAGTGTAGAGTGGGAAAACATTCTTTAGATTGTTCTTTACACTAAGAAAAAGGGGTGGTTCTTTTAAGAACTGTTCACTTTGGGGAACCTAAAATGGTTCTTCTATGGCATTGCTGCAAAACCCTACTTTCGGAACCCTTTATTTTTAGCCAGCACTTTTTCCCAACATCTGTTCCATATGGGTGTCAAATACCTTGTTTTAACTCAATTTTTTAGGCAGAATCACATATATCTTTCTTGGAGTAAGAAAACCCAGATTGCATTGCAGTAAGTTCAGTGAAGAAAATCCAAGATGGTGGACGAAGTAAGAAAAACAAAGTCTAAATATACTTGTATTTCATTTAGTGTTGTTTAAAATGAGTTCAGTATAATTCAAAGTGGGCTATTGTACTCAATATGTGTGTGCTATGTGTTTTCATGCCTTTTAGAGAGTTGCGCTGTTAGCTTAGCGACATGCTAATGTCAAAATCCGTTGAGTTAT